CGATGATGAAGAAAAGAAAAAGAAAGAAAGAGGAAGGTGGTGGGAAGGGTGCAATAGGAAGAGAGAAAGAAAAAGAAAGAGAGAGTGAGAAAAAGAGAGAGAGAGAGGGAGAGAGAGAGACGATAGGTAAGTAGATTTAATGGAAAAAATATGTGAAAGGATGTACAGAGTGAGCTAAAAGTTCCTAGGTGGACCAAAAAGGTGATTTTAAAAATCGATTAAGTCCTTTTAGAGACGTTTTAGGCTAACTTGTCTACCTTTTCTCTTTTCTTTTTCTTTTCTTTTCCTTTTTCTTTTGTTCAGATCGTTGAACTACAAGCCCAACTCGTAATATTACCAACCTAACTACATGTCCTAAATAGTCTTGGGAAAGGAGTAATCGATTTTTAATATCACTTAGTGATAAACTTTCGGTTTATCCTATATATGTATATATATATATATATATATATATATATATATATATATATATATATATATATATACATACAAGGGACAAAGTTCATTCACGTTCTCTTTCTCTTTATCTACGTATGAACATACGTATAGATAAGTATACAAAGTACTTGTAGTTTCACGAATAATTAAATTCTTCGTGATAGCTCGTAAAGATAGAATAATCGACATTATCCTAGATGAAGGATATTAAGATAAAATAAGAAAGTTTAAGTTAGAAATTTTTTAAAGGTTTTGAAGGAACGAATCTCTACAAAAAAGAAAAAAAAGAAAAAAGAATTTACAAGGAATGGAGATAAAGATTTAATGAGATTTTATAATCACGATCATTTGTATTATTATTAAAGATACAATATCCTTTCGACGATTATTCGAGATATATGTAATAAAAGAATTTTTGAAAGATTTCACGTAAGTAATGTTTATCACTGTCGTTATACGCAAACTCGATTATAAATTCGATTACATTTACTATGCTATAACGATTAAGGCGTTATATCAAACGGGTTAGAACCATTTTTGGCTTTTTAAAGCTACCATCTAAAGTAATATCTCTTGATTAACGAGTTAATCCTGTTGCTGTTCAAATATATGTGTAATAAATACGATTACTGTTTACATATTATTACATATCTAAATAAAAAATGAGAAGAAGTGAATGCGTGGATTTTGAAAAAAAAAAAAAGGAAAAAAAAAGAAAAATAGAAAACGGCAAACACCGATCAGTAAATAACGTAGAAAAAATAAAAAAAATGAAATGAAAAATCATTCGAAATCGATTGGTACTATTCACTAAATTTTATCCACATACTATCATATATATTTAAAAAAGAAATAAAAAAATGATATTAAAAAAAAAAAAAGAATCAAAAAAAGAAATAAACAACGAACTACGATGAGCAAAAAATTATAGAATAAAGCGAACTATAATAATGTATATCTAAGTAAGAAATGAAGAAAAATGAAATTCAAAGGAAAAAAAGAAAAAAGAAACAGGAAAAGAAATAAACAACAAACAACGATGTTCGAAAGATTTAGAGAGAGAGAGAGAGAAAGAAAAAAAAAGAGGAAGAAAGAGAACAAAGGAAAAAAGAAAGAGATGAATCATTTGAAATCAATTGAAAGTTTCACCCAGAAATTGTTAAAGTAATACCGATCATGGAAAAGAAGGCGTGTCTTAATCTCACTAGGAACAAGTGATATAACCTATATATCGTGCCAATGGCAAACATTGTCAAGGCCAATTGGCCTTGATCGAAAAAAAAGAATAATCGTAAATGTGTGCTTATTTTAATTCAGCAGACATGTCTGAAATGTATATATGTAAAAAGGGAAAGAGTGAAAGGATCTCGTGAGAAATTTATGTCTTTCTCTCTCACTCCTCCTCTCTCTGTCTTTCTCTCTCTCTCTCTTTCTCTCTCTCTCTCTCATTTAATGCTTGTATAAGTGAACACTATCTTTTTTTATCCAGTTCTCTCTCTCTCTCTCTCTTTCTTTCTCTTATATACATATATATGATGTGCCTCCTCCTTTTCATACTCACACGCGTGTTACTTTCTATTTCGTTGTCGGCCGTAGAAAGAAAAGTGAGTGATCATAAGGCGTTGCGATCTATAGCCTAGATAGATCGGAAGATCTATTCCCTCTTGATCATTATCTCGATCAGAAGTATCGAAGGAGGAGATGGAAGACAAATCGCAGGTGCGTTCTTTCACGCGCATTCCACAACTAGGAAAAGTTAAATGCCGGTAAAAGGAATTTCTATTTGAAATTCTAGATTCTACAATTTCATTGCGCTCGTGTGAGATTAGATATTTTTTATATACATATATATATGTACACACACACACACACACACACATACACACACATATAAAGAAAAAGTAAGAAAAGAAAGAAACGGTTCGATGACATTTATAAAACTCTTATGTCTTATAATCGACATTAAGTTTATCGGGAAGTTTATTACAAGATAATTGGTCGCTGTTTAAATGTATTACTATTTTATTGGAAAATTATTCTAATTTCTAAGTGCTTTTATAACGTAAACGTGAAAGAGAGAGAGAGAGAGAGAGAGAGAGAGAGAGAGAGACAAAGAAAAAGAGATAGAGAGAGACAAAGGGAGAGAGAGAAAGAGAGAAAGAGAGAGAGAGAGAGAGAGAGAGAGAGAGAGAGATTCTGTTATCTCGTCGGTGCAAAACTTGTTTTGTGTTTCCTAGATTTTTTTTTTATTTCTGTTTATTTCTTCACGTTTTTTTTTCTCTCTCTTTTTCTCTCTCTCTTTTAATATAGTCATTTTTATTATACATTTATTATATATTTTTATCATACATATAGATTTCTTTAGAATAAATATATTATTTCCCACTTATTCTTTTTTCTATTTTTTAATTTTTTTTTTTTTTATATTGCAGACAGTTGCAACGATCGTAACGATCGAAATTCCTTTTGCTCAGTCTGCATTATAAAGTGTTAAAATTTTACAATGTGATTACCGACAATTATATGTAATTTCTTTCTTTTTTTTTCCTTTTTGTTTCTTTTTTATGAAGAAAAGTCTGATTCATTTTAAACCGGCATTTTAATGAATAGATATTAAATTTCGAAGAGTTAAATATAAATATGATCTTACCTGTCGATCATTCTCTTTCTCTTTTAACGAGATCACCTTATGCTTCTCGTGGTGTTATCTGATGCGTATATGTCCCTCTCTCTCTCTCTCTCTCTCTGTCTCTCTCTCTTTCTATGTATTAAAAAATATTAGATTTATATCCGAGATATGTGCTTTCGGATTTACGCTCGTCCGTCGTCTCGTTTTTCCTTTTTGCACGATGGCTTAATGCCAATGTCCTGCTCTTACTTCTCGATTTCGAACCACTCGCCGATCTTTATTATCGATGCGCTGAAAGTAGAAATCGTTTCTTTATGAATATTCAATTGGAATGTTGGTAGTAATTTTGAAAGATTATGGTATATTTTTTTGTTCGTTAATATACTTATTTAACGTGAAGAATCTTCATATTTATAAATTTTTTTTTCTTTCTACCACACTCTACTTTTCTTTTATTCTATTTTCTTTTTGGTTTTCCTTTTTTTCCTTATTTTTCTTTTTTTTCTTTCTATCCTAACGATGCATCACATATATCATTTTTCTTTAATGCATAGTTTCCTTTTTTTCTCTTTTAGAAACTTTTAGAAAAAAAAAATTATTATGCGACATTAGTTATCCGAATAAATATAAAAGTCGCAATATTAAAGAGATAAAAAAAAATATTATAAATATTTTTAATTGTATTTATATCAAAAATTGAAAATTAAATCATTGTGCACTATAAAAATGGATCATGAGGAAAAGATTATATTACAACTTTTATAAATTAGATTTAATAAAAAAAAAAAAAAAAAAAAAAAAAAAGAAGGAAGGGAAAGTTAGAAAAAAATATTATTGCACATACGTTATATCGCAAATTGATCAACATCTAATTATAACATAAATTTTCAATTCTATTGAAATGTTTTAATTTGAATATGTACATATTGGTAAACTGTTTTTAGTATTTTTAAATTTCACATGTATCTCTCATCCAATAGATCTATCAAGTATTTTATCTTTCTGAAGTTCTTTTCAAAATGACGTATAGCTCGAGGCACGAATTTCTCTTATCTTTCTCTGAACCATGTTCAGATACATACATTTATCGAATGAGTTTTAAAACATATACACACAGATATATGTATGTATATACATAAAAAAAATATGTATATAAAATAAATAAAGTTTGAAATGTACTCATACATTGTAACGCGTATCAAAGTTAACGCGTGGTTGATTTCGCACGAACACATCCGACTCCCTCAAACGTTTCCTCTTTCTCTTCTTACTGGTTACCGGTGTTGCTTGTTTCGATCTCAGTGGGATTAACACTCATCGTATAGTATCCCCCACCAGAGTACTGTCTTGTCCTTCCGGTGCTTCCTCCGGGTCAATTTATATAGCCGGCACTGTTACCGGCTATATATGACAGTGTCTATCGGTACGTCGAAGAGAGCTGATCAAGAAAAAGTTACTGACTATAAGGAAGAAAACGTATTTTCGTCCATCTTTCAGCGATCATGGAGATCAAAATCATCGTAAGGATTCACCATGCGATTCCTGATTTATTTCTTTTGCACGGGAAAAAAAGAAAGAAAGAAAAAAAAAAGAGAATAAACGATTCCTTCGATTGATTTTGTTCTTGATTTTTTCAAGTCTCTTTTGGCTCGATTTTGTAAACTTTCTTTCGTAGATTTAACAAATTCTTTTTTCTTTTTTTTTTCATTTCTTTTTCATGTTTTTTTTCTTTTTTTTTTTAATGACAGCTACTTAAAAAATTGAAATTGTACTGTCTAATGAGAGAATAATATAAAAGCTATTAGATTATCATATCTATCGATTAATCAGAAATTAATTTACTCTAATGATCGTGGATAATCGATACGAATTAATTTAATTAAATCATTCTAAGTAACTGATTTACGTTTATTATTCTTTTTTGTTCTTACAGATGAAATCATTTCTTCTAGTCATTAATCTGGCGATAGCTCTAGCTACCTTTGGCCACGAGCAGTAAGCAGTTTTTTAAAATAAAAATAAAAATAAAAATAAAAATAAAAATAAAAAAAAATAATAAAAAAAAAGAATTAAAAGAAATAAAAATAAAAAAGAAATCAATTAAAAAAACATGGAAATAACATGATTTTATTTTTCGATTCATAGCGTTCATATAAGGATTCACGTTCCTGAATTGGTTCAGCATCACGAAAAAAAAGTCATCAAGTATGAAGAACATGGTGGAAACGGTGGTGGACATGGTGGTGGTGGTGGTGGTGGTGGGGATGATCATCACGTTGAAATAACAAGTCCAGGAATCGGTGATCTTGGCGGTGGTCACGGAGGAGGAGGAGGAGGTGGTTTTGGTGGTGGCCATGGTGATTTAGGAGGTGGTGGATTTGGAGGAGGTCACGGTGGTGGATTTGGAGGAGGTCATGGCGGTGGATTTGGAGGAGGTCACGGCGGTGGATTTGGAGGAGGTCACGGCGGTGGATTTGGAGGAGGTCACGGTGGTGGATTTGGAGGAGGAAGTGGTGGAGGAGCTTTTGGAGGTGGTCACGTGATCGTTCATCATTCGTCAGGAGGATTTGGGGGTGGTGGCCATGGAGGGGGAGGAGGTGGAGGAGGTTTCGGAGGTGGTCATGGAGGAGATCTAAGTGGTGGTTATGGAGGCGGACATGGAGGTGGACATGGAGGTGGACATACAGTTAGTTTGAGCGGAGGATTCGTCACACTTGGTGGCGGCGGCGGTGGAGGTGGTGGTGGTCACGGTGGCCATGACCTTGGCGGTGGCTATGGGGGTCACGGTGATTTCGGAGGTAAGAGGACCGATTAGACATACATATTGAACGAATAAAAAAACAACGGAATCTTTCGATCGGTATCATTAGAATGAGCATAAATGAAAGATCAATGTCTGATATGGAATTAATTGTCAAAACGAGTCCGTCCCGGTTAGTTACTTCTTTCTTCCTTTCACGTCGATTTTCCACGATGACGTGGCCAAAGTCATACGCTCGAAACCAGTTCCATGAACTTTCTCCATTTATAACGCGACCGTAACCTTATTTCAAACGATTACCAAGTTCTTTGATCGTTACCCTTTGATCACTTTCCTTTTCGATGTTTGATAAGAAATTATTATTATTATGTGTTCGAGTCTAATAATTTATGTTATACACTTATTTATCCATACTTTATCGAATAAATCATCGATCTCATATGTCTACGTTGTCGATTTTAATCTTTTCGAATAATTTAATTTACAGGTGGCCATGGAGATATTATAGAAACCATTCACAGTAGTAGTGGCGGTGGTGGCGGTGGTGGCGGTGGTTATGGCGGAGGTGGCTACAGCGGCGGAGGTGGTTTCGGTGATCATGGAGGACATAGTTTTGGAGGTGGCGCTAGCTTTAGTAGCCATGGAGGAGGTTATGGAGGTGGTGGTGGTGGTGGTGGTGGTGGACATGATATAGGTGGAGATGATCATTCCATCGGCTCCAGTAGTTATGGAAACAGTATTTCTTCTGACTTTGGAAGCAGGTATGACTTTTGATCTTGGACAAAAACATTTGTTAAATCTCGTCGTATCAAATGACAATAATTAATATAATTTTTATCTTTTTTTTTCCTCTTTTTCTTTTTTCTTTTCAGTGGACATGGCGGAAGTAGTTTCAGTTCGGGAGGTGGTTATGACTCTTACTCCACTGGACACTCGTCGTACAGTGGTGGAGGTGGAGGTGGAGGTGGAGGTGGAGGTGGATACGACGGTGGACACGGTGGTGGACACGGTGGTTTCTCGGGTTATCACAAAAGAAAATAAGAGATATAGACATTTTTTGTCCTTTCTTCTTCTTCTTTTTCTAATTTTGTTTGTTCTCGATGGTAATTCAACTCGAACATTTTTTCTTCCCTATCCTGACCGACTTTTGACTCCTTCGTGAAAATATACTTTCACCACAATCAATCAATCGGTAGATTATTCTGAGATCTTTATCTTGACTTATTTGACTCTCGATCTTTTTAAATCCTCGAACAAAAACGATCCAACGGCATGATCAATATCGATAATGATTTTCGAAATATTCTAGCACAATAGATTTATTTCGAGTTTTTACGAAGTACTATCGTATTATCTCCAATACCATCTTGTAAATATTACATCCCTTTTCCTCGAACACCGAAATGTATTTTATTAATGTTTGTAGTTTGTATATTTAACACGAATTTGTTTTTCTTTTTTTATTTTTTTTTAGCAAGCTGTGTTATGTGCTTGCGAATGCACGTTTTATCTATTTTTGTTCATTTTTTTTTTTATCTACGTGCTTCGTCAGCTAAAGTGTTTGTTATTTTATCTATAACTATCGCACTTGTATGAAACTTTCTGTAAATAAGTACTTATCTATGCAATAATTATTATGTTGTGACATTGTTGACTATAATAAAAATTTTTATATGTTTGTAAAAATGACGTTTTATTTTTCAAACTATATCCGTTTCAAAAATTTATTTCAAAAATAGAAAGAAAAAAGTTAATGCTTAAAATAATTGTTTATAGAAAAGTTAGAAAAAGGAATAAAAATAAATAAAAAAAACAGATTATTTTCGATCGATATAAGATAGATCATAAATTAATTTATTATAAAAAAGGAAACAAAAAATATATATATATTTATATATATAACATATAATCTTATTAGAAAGAGAGATCAATTATCATCAAAATAATATCTGTTAATATCGAAATTTCTCAATTTTCTTTCTAATTAATTACAATGAACATTTCACTCATGATTCTTATCGAATCGAACTTTCTTTAATCTAACGCAATTATTTTAAGATTAATCATTCGAGAAAGAAAATGAGGAAGATAAATCTAGGAAGTAATTATTTAAACGACATATATATATATATATATATAAATATATACATATGTATATAAATATATACATATATAGAGAGAGAGCGAGATAAATTATAATCTATTTACATACTGACACGTACATTACATATGGACGACGTAATTCTAAGCTTTTCGATTAGAATATACAAATTGATATATATATATATGTATATGTATATGTAAATGTATATATGTATATGTATATGTATATGTATATATGTATGTATGTATGTATGTATATGTAAATAGATATAATTCTTATTAGACATTGTAAAGAATTTATTCGAAAAGGAAAGTAAGCGGAAAGTGAAAGAGCCGATCGTAAGATGGTCACAAGATTTCACTTTGCTTCACCATGTTCGTATTCTCTCTTTTATTAAACGATTCCACGCGTTCGATGCTCTTAAAAAGGAGAAGCCTTTTGAGCGTAATCCGTACGTCGATTTCCGACAACGATTTATCTTGATCATTTAATGCATGCCTAATTGATGGTATTCGTAAGATAGCTAGAAACTTTGTTTTTCGAGACTAAAAGATATAAATAATTAAGAATCTCTCATTTGATTGAAATTAATTATGAAGAAAAGTGATTGACCTTTTTAAAATCACATTAGAATAATTCGATAGAAAGTATTTTTGTTGATATAAGTTTGATGGTATTGATTGAGCCAAAACTTTCTAGGCGATTTCAAAATATCTATTATCGATCGATCAAATTAGCCTGTAAATGTCTCATAATAGACTAATATATTCTTAATATCTCTTAGAAACTTTTAAGCTCATCTTTGAACTTTCGACTCAATCTTTAAAATTAATTATTAAATATTATCTAGATATTATAAAATATTATCAGGATTCGATGTTAATCATCTTGAATGAAAATTTGTACTTTAATATTCTAATTATTATGAATAAATGAATTTACAATAAAATAAATTTTACTTTAATTACTAATATTTATAGTATATGTATATATACAAATATTTTTAGAAAGTTTTTCTTGTGTAATTTATATATATATATATATATATATATACATACACACATACATATATGTATATGCTATAGTAAAATTAATTTTGTAATAAAACATAAATATCATACCATTATGTTCAATCTGGAATGAGTATGTATACTTAAATAAATGAATAAATAGAATTTTTCTTAATATCATAACAAGTATGCGTGTATACTTATAGGAAATATTTATATTTATATATATATATAAATATAATTTAGAGAAAGTATTATTATTTAAACAAATAGACCTCTAACATTCGAATTGTCGAGAAATATCGTCGGTTCTGAATTGTATTTTTTTTTCCTTTTTTTTTTTAGAACTCGAACTGAAACAGAAAGTTCGTATTTGATGTCAGTGGAAAATGTAATATTAGATATACATGTCTATGTATACGTGAATTTGTAAATATTTATTAATAATTTATTAGACCGTATGAGAGAGTATACGATGCCAAACAACAAATATCTACTACTTCATAAGTAGAAAACGTTGCTTTCACCGTATAGTAGATATTTCATGAAATTACAATTAAAATGAATGAACATACGTATCCATTTTCTATCATATTTCATTAAATTATAATTTAATAAAATCGATCATTGATCTATTATTATTTACGATTGTAATGAAATTTCCTTCGATTTATTCAATGCCTAATCTCGATTTAAAAATAATATTAAGATTTATCAAGGAATCGTTGATAATATGTGATCTCGTTTCTTAACGAGATAAGATTAAAGCATCGATGATGAATAATCCCATGAATCATTATTTTCACCTTAAATTATACTTTGTATTATACAGGAAAGTAAGATTACGACAATGCGTACCGTTGAATTACGCGTAATTGGAGCTCGAGAAAGTGGCCGATACCTAAGGATGAGGAACCGAAACTTCTCGAAGGACCATTTTCTCCGCTCTTGGAATACGAAGTGACTTATGTATACATATATTTATATATAAGTATGCTTTGTGAAAGTTTTGTCTCATATATTGTATATATTTACTGTGGGTGGTAAAATAACGACATGATATTTACCATGAGAATAACTATTTATATAGTTTCCTCTATTCTCTGTCAGTCACTTTGTTACTTTAGATTCCCATGAAATCCAACATATTAATTATATGATACATTAACTAAAATAACAGATTTTTTGTCATCCTTGATATTCCATTATTTGTACAGTAAACATACACACGCGCGCACACACACACACACACACACACACACACACACACACGCACACATATATATATATATATATAAATATATATCATTGATGTGCGAAGTTAATAACAGAGCAGATATTCGAATAATAATTTTTTGATAGACTCATTTTTTATGATAAATTTATTTTATGATAGATATTTATTATTTTGCAAAATTAAATAAAAGTAAAAATAAATTACTGGATATATAAAAAGAAAAAAAAAAACGAATTTCTCAAATTACTATTCGTATACGTAAAGATATATATTTACGTTCGAAGTATTGCACACATATATGTATGCTTTAAAATTACTATCCATATGTATATGTGTATATGTTCAAAGTACTTTTCGCACATGCGTATGTGTTTAAATTACAATTCGCATATCCATATAAATATGTATGATATAGTTAAACTATAATAAACAAAATTAAGAGAGAGAGAGAGAGAGAGAGAGAGAGAGAAAGAGAGAGTGAGAGTAAGTATATAGTATGTAGTATATTTTTGCAATCATAAAATAAATTTAAAAAAATAAATCGAGTACAATCAAGATAAAAATGAGAAATGTAAAGAAAGAAAGAAAGAAAGAAAGAAAGAAAGAAAGAAAGGAAGAAAGTTGTGAATACTCATTTTCTTTTTCTTTTTTTTTTTCTTTCTTTTTTTCCTTTTTTCTTTTTTTTTATTTTCTTGTAATCTTCGATACAATCGATTAAATCTTCGATACAATTGGTGTCTCTACGACAATGCGGGTCCATCGGCCCACATGTAATCGCAAGTGAGAGCAGGTAGTAGAGGTGGGGCAATGTTAAGGTAGTAAAACTCTTGCACGTTCATACACCGTTCACTGATTGTTTCTGTTTATAAGGCTTGCGAGGTAAGTGACTTTTAGTTCTTCACTTGACTCGCCGAAAGTAGTAAGACGTACTGGAGAGGAGACATGCTGAAACTACGAAGATACGTGGGTGTCTCAATGGATCTTTTATTTTTTCTCTTTTTTTCTCTATTAATTTCTCTTTCATTTATTTTTATTTTCTGTTCATATTTTTTTATCCTTCTTTTATTATTCGCAATTATCAAGCCTACAAACTACTATATGTACTGTATGTACTTTTTTACAAAACTAAAAAACTAAAAAACAAAAAAAAAGAAAAAAAAAAGAATTTGAAGTTTCGAGATAACGTTCATCGAAATACTCGATATCTTTTGAGATCATATAAATCTTATATAAAATATCTCTCTCTTATTCTAATGGTCTTCGTAGCAATAGATAAATAATTGATGATAAATGAAAAAGGAAAAAAAAGAGGGAAAAAAAGAAAAAAAAAAGAAAGAAAAACCAAAGGAACAAATCGCATTAAGGATTTGAAATTTCGATCTATCGATCATAGAAATTGTCGAATCAATGAAATTTTGTATTTTTTTTTTTTTTTTGTAATCGTAAAGATTTTATAAACCAATATCAATCTCTATTTTATTCCAATACCTTCGAGTCAATTAATAAATAATGAATTTAATTTATTCTTTATCGGATTTCCATCTTTCATACTTATTCTTTTTCATTTTCTATTCTTTTTCAGATCTTACTTCTAATGGTGTTCATGTTTGCACTTGTAACTGCGATGCCCCATCCTGGTGGTGATGGACACGAGCAGTAAATGATTCAAATATCCTTAGAAAATACAAATAAATCTCAGATGTTTATAAATCTTCAAACATTTTCAATGGTTTTCAGTACCCACTTTATAATACACGTGCCACATTATATCCATAAGCATCACCATACGCACGTAAAGAAAATTTATATACCGGTAGAGTCACACGACGACGATCATGATCATGAACACGAAGAAGATGGCTGGTGAGAGAGAGAGAGAGAGAGAGAGAGAGAGAGAGAGACAGAGGGAGAGAAAGGAAGAGAGAGAGAGAGAGAGAGAAAGTTAGTTTCAAACGATCCTTCTCCAAACGTTATTACTGTTAACCCATTGCACTATTGTTATGTCAATTGTTACACGTTAATAAATTGTTAAAACCAAATTGATATTATTTAATTTTTATTTCTTTTTTTTTTCACTCTATACTAAATTCTAATTTCTCCAATTATTCTCTAATTATTTTAATCGGATGATTGGACGAGGATAAAAAGACGTCAAATAATGTATCAGTTAATAATATTTATCAAACATATATGTATATACATATATATACATATATATATATATATATATATATATATATATATATATATATAAATGTTCGTGTATATAAAAATAAAATTGTATATAAGAATAACACAACGCAAAAGTATATGTACATAGATTAATTTTCATGTCGAACACACGCTTAATCTATCCCCTGATAATAATCCAAGGTTTTTTATGTCCTATTGATAAATCGATATCTATTTTGTACTGATCTTTCCTTCGATGAGTATTTCTGGCTACGAGTATTCTGGCGGAACGTTCACTTATCTCTTTTCTTATATTATTATTCGAAGATCAGAGAACGCGTCTCCTTATTATTTTAAATTATATAACCTGTAAATCAAAAATGTATACATATAAAAAATAATAACAGAATAAAATAAGAAACGAATAAAAAAATAAAAAAAAAATTTATATATATATATATATATATGTTACTATTAAAAGTAATATTAGAAAACAGTGAATATTTTCTCTTTAATTATTAATTAAAAATAATATTAAAAAAAGGAAAATAATTGTGATTATATTATCGAGTATATTTAATAATAATAGATTTCAATTAATGAAGAATATTCTTTTGATAGCCATTAAAATTATCTTATAAAATAATAAAAAAATAAATAAATTTTTATAATCATCAAATCTATAAATAATTTGACAATATTAATATGACAATAATAATGATTGATATTTATGTCAAGAAATCGTTGTCTTGAAATATTAATAACAATCAAATAAAAAATATTGTAACGAACAACAAGAGACCTAATGTCATGTAGATGTGTATATATATATATATCTATATAAATCTGTATATAAATACTGGTACATACCTAAGAATCAAAAACAAATGAATAACAACATTTGAGACTCGATCTACCACCAAGACTTTTCTTCGTGAACTGGTACATGAACAGGTACATGAACTTTTTCGACTACTGGTACAGGTACATGAACCTTTTCAACTACAGGTACTGGTACATGAACCTTTTCGACATGGTGAATTGGAATTGGTACTGGCACTGGTACCTTTTTAACGTGATGAACTGGTACGTGAATTTTTTTCACGTGATGATGATGAACCGTGTGAACGTGATACGGGACATGAATCACGTGATGAGAACTACAATGAAAATTAATTGTTATAAGGACGATTAGAAATTATTAAAATAATAAATGATTCAAAATTAATATAGTTAAAAATCGATGAAAAAATTAATGATGGAAAATTAATGAAAAAAATTAGTAGGTATAATAAAATTAGTAGGTATAATAAAAAAAAAAAAAGAAATTATTATAAACGAATTAACGTAACAAATAAAATAAATTTATGGTGTTCGTTTCTTTTCCTTTTTTTTTTTTTTTTTTCTTAACAGGTCACGATTCGATATAAACTTAAAAGATATTAAATTATGTATAATTTATGAATAATGATAGGATACTTTTTCTTTTTTTCTAACTTACTGGCCATGATGACCAGGTATGGGCGATGCTAAAGCCACGGTCAACATTCCGAACACGAACGCCTGAAATACGATTGTGAATTTGTGATTATCAACATAAGGAAATAAATTGAGCTCGTACACACGTCACATCGGTTATCGAAATGCAGAACGGCATTTTTTATGAACGTTTCACTGCATTTCTCGACCGATGCACTTACATGCATATGTATGTAATTCGTATTACGACAACGTGAAAATACTTCGTTTTCGCAGGTGAGATTGTCTCACATGTTCTATTTTTTTCTTACGTATTATATATATATATATATTATTATTATTATTATTATTATTATTATTATTATTATTATTATTATGTACTAATAATTAATAATTATTATCTACAAAATAAATCACCATTTTTGTCACAATGCTTTTCGGAATAATATAACAAAATTAAAAAGGATAAAATTATATAAAATTTCGTCGTCTATTTTTCAAAAGAAAATATTAAAAATAAAAATATAAAAATGACAATTAAATTAAATTAAGTCTTAAAAAGTGAAAATACGCGATAATAATAAAAATTCATTCACGACAATAATGTACAAATTCATCTAGATAATCATCCTTCCTTTTTAATTTTCAATATAAAAACAACAAATAATAAAGAAAAAAATATATAGGAACAAAATATCTAATAATTAAATAATAATTATTCTTCCAAGAGATTTATTGTCGTTGTAAATCTCTTCGAGAAATAATATAAAAAAGTTAACGCATAAAATTGTATAAAATTTGTTTGTATAAAAATCGTTTATTTCTTAGAAAAGAAGTGGAATAAAAGTTACATTGAGTTAAATTGAGGAACGAAAAGAAAAGAAAAGAAAAGAAAAGGAAAAAAGAAAAAAGAAAAAACATGGAATTATACGACATCAATAAAATTTTACTCACGACAATAATGTATGAATTCATCTCGTTGATCTTCTTTTGACGTAGACAAAATCTTCCTTGGCTGATCTTCAACGGGAATAAAAATTAATGAAAGGAAAAAAATACGAAAAAAATTAAACAAATATATAGAAACCACTTGAAAGAAAATTCGCAAAGAAAAAAAAGAGAAGGGATATTTTTTTTTTTTTATTTTTATATATATATATATATATTTTTTTTTTTTAACGATAATACGTCGCAATCGTAATGAGATCGTCTGCTTGACTTGATATTATGAACGTCGATACGATTCTGCCTTTGATCGCTGAGGATGTGTGCTTATAAAGGACATGTGAGTGCCTTGGTCAAAACCACCCGGTGAAAATGATCAGGGTGGGGAAGAGAGTCATAGTCCCGAGACATTATAGTTACGTAAAACCAAGGAAACGATCGCAGACTGTTACGTAGTTTTACGTATATATGTGTGTATAATAGTCACACACCTCCCAAAACAAAACATCGTCGTACGCCTCATACAAACAGACAGCAGTGTCCGTGTGTATGGTGTGTGTGCGTGCGCTCGCGCGCACGGGTTTCCGCGCGCATGCAACTCTCGGAATATTCGAAAGAAGCTGCGTAACAGTGCAGCGTAGTGTGTCTTCGTCGTCGAAAGTTCGAACCCAATTTTTCCTCCATTTTATTAATCCGAGAGATCTGAAGTTGATTAAATAAATAATAAAAAGAAAAAAAAAAAGAAAAGAAAAGGGAAAGAAAGAAAAAATTAAAAGAAAAATAAAAAACGAAGAAGACGGACGATTTTCTGATTGGAAGATAAGAAAGAAAAAAAATATAAATGTGCGAAGTTCGTGATTTGAGGAGTGTATATATGTGTGTGTGTATGTGTGTGCGTGAAAATATTATTTGGTCAAGTGTCCGTGCGTCTGGATTGCGTGAAAAAAAAAGGAAAATAGAAATAAAAAAATATACATACATATATATATATATCGAATTTAATATCGATCCAATTTCGTGTTATAAAAAAATTTTTGATTTGTTCGTTAGCCCGGTATTTTTTTGTTTTGTTTTTTTTTAATCACTTTCCTGTAAAGGTCTAAGGCAATAGTCCGTCACGAAGTAAAAGTCAATGTTCACTTATTTATTTGCCAACTTAACTATAGTATTTTAAACGTAATTATACCGTATTATGGAATGCTATGGTTTGTAACGATAGAATATGGTTAACATTGAATTACCGTTTCTATTTGCACATTTAATGTGGCGTCCTAGAATGTGAAACGATGAAGACGAATGTGTATAGTCGTTTATTAATAAGTTTAAAGTCTTCAATTTAATCGTTCGTAATTTTGTCCATCCGATTTTTCATTAATCAATTTTCGTTCGTAAATGAAAATATTTTCGTTACACTAAGCGAACACGTGCGGAGTACAATAAATTCGAGTCTTATCGATTATCGCGATAAAATCATTACTAACGGTTTTATAATTATTATATAATTATAAGCTTCCGCATTTTCCCTATATAAACAGGTAGCATTCTTAATTCGTTAGAGTTTACGTTAATTATGATCAGCATTACATCTATGATACGTTCTAAAATAATATTTTATTTCGAATAAGAACCTTCTATTAGTTTTTATTTTTTCTTTTGTTTGTTTTTTCTTTTTCTTTTTCTTTTTTATTTTTTTTTTTTTCAAAAAATATTGAATTGCATAAGAAGCAATGCTTGTCGCAATATTAAATATTTTATATCTAATCATGTTTTTTTTTTTATTTATTTTTATATCTATTAGTGTTCTTTTTTGTTGTTTTTTTTTCCTAATAATAAAAAATATTATTTTTTTTTTTTTTATATTTTTATAAAACTATTTTTTTTCAGTAAAAAAAAAAATACTATTCTTGTATACTACAATTATTATATACTTACTATTTTCTTTTTGATTAAAAGAATACTATAATATCATTTATCGTTTATTTAAATATAAAATATCGAGTAAACAATTAATCATTGTTTATTGTTCATTTAGAATATAAAATAATGAAAATTTTGTTTAAATATAAAATAATGAAAATGATGATTGTAAAAGAGTGAGAGCACAATGTTACGACAATACTTCCTCGGAACATCATAGTTATCGATTTTTTATAAATCGAATCATATTTAATATGTGTATTTTCGGAATTTGAATTAATTCGTTACAAGATGTTATTCTGAAGTTTTTTGATTACCTAACAACTCTTTCTTCCACACATTCGTATGGAAAGTTTTATAGCATCGTTTTATCGTAAACGCATTTAATGATTCTTATATCACGATCTTTCGTTTTTTCGTTAAGAATTTCGTCAACAACAAACTCATAAATAATTCGTGAATTTCAATGAACTTTCATTACGTGTTGGCAAATTATAAATATTGATTTTGTGCTTATACAAGACGCGATAAGTAAGAAACGAAGAAGAAAATGGATCGATTAATAAAACATGAATGTATTTCTAACATGCATTTATATATAGATTATTGTGCATATATATATATATATATATATATATATATATATATTATATCGATTATATCACAGCTATATATATACAAGATGGATCAAAAGTTTTTAAGTGATTGTTTCAAATTGATTAATTATACTATTTCGAAAAATTTTTAATTTATGATAAGGTTCATTGTTTTACAAGATAGTAATATTTTTGTAATTTTTACTGTAGATTTGTAGTTTTTTGTTTTTCTTTTTATTCTAAAAACAAAAATTGAAAATTGAAAAGTCTCGTTAAAAATTATCATCCGACTTGATAATACTTTTACTATCATTCGTGGAATTTTTCATTTATTTTGTTACCTTTACATTTGTTTATATATTTACATATATAAACATATATGCATCTCCAAAACTTCATAACGATTTCACTATTTCGGAATCAATATGATGTGTCAATAATATCATTACAATGTTGGTTGTGGCTGTACAATAGAAAGAAATCGTCAACTATCTTCCTCGTAAACTTTCAATGTTTATAATGCGCCATTGCTCGCTTGACTGAAATGTCAGCCGAATGTATTTAATTATGTATGCAATGTAACTCGATTAAATAATCCAAATTATTTCTAATATCTAAACATCACGTTTTTATAGTACGACGAAAAAAGGGAGATTAAATTGAAAATATTATATTTTTATTCTACAATATTGGATTATCAGTCGGTCGATAAAGTATCATATCACATTTAGCGAAAGTAAGTTGCGTAAATTATACAGCTATTTTTTTATCGAGTACCGTTAAAAAAAAAAAAAAAAAGAGCAAAAGGCAAAAGAAAGAAAAAAGAAGAAAGACGAAGAAAAAATAAAGAAAAAAAGGAATGGCAATAACTATATCGACACTTTGAAAAGTATTTAATTTATTATCCGACGGAATTTGCGTTTACGTTAATCGTGCTGGACCGCAAAATAAATAATGTCGTTCAAGTGCAAGTTTGAAGGTTGATTGTCGTCAATTTAGCGAGAATTTTTTAATTGGTCATCTTTAAATACGATTATACGAAAGACGAGTCCTAAATTAAAGTGAATTATATTATTCGTTTGATTTGTTCTTTCTTTTTTTTATTTTTTTTATTTTTACTCTCTTACACCGACAAAGCCGACAGAGTTACAGCAGGAAGTGGTGCAGCTCGCATACTTAAAATATCCTTCATACAGGGAGAAAGTGTTTCGTAAGCAACACACATATATGTACATATATATATATATAAATCTTTATGTATCTCTTTTATGTATCTACGGGATAAAGGTATGATCATCGTAGATTGGAAAAAGGATATTAAAGGAGAGCACGCGATTTGTATCAACGACTGCCTTTTATTCTACTTTATAATGTGAAATTTTCAAGTTCGAAACTGGAACTGGAACTGGATCTGGATAAATGCCCTATTAAATGAAACGATTATCTTCCGGCTTTCAAACGTTGCGAATGTCCTTCTTTCGAAAGCGAGGGTAACATATACAGGACGTACTTCGTTACGTCATATTATAGACTATTTTGATTATTCGCATCCTAGAAAATTATATCGTTGTGCAATTAATGATAATAGTTCAGATCTATTTCTCTTCTATTTTTTTTAACGCTCTCGTTAAGTACGAGATTGTTATGAGATTCAAACTCTGTTTTATTTTAAGCTTTCACATTAGTATCGAATTGTAATTTCAAATGAAGTTTAAAAATGTTTTGAAATAAAAGTGAAATTTTTTAAAGAAGCAGAAAATTAGGATATTCGAATTTATATTAAAATATTCAAATTTAATTAAATTTTTTACTATGTTCAAAATTTCCGTCTAATGTCGATGAATTTTTATCGGCAATATTTTATAAGATTATCTTTAGAAAGTTATATTAAGAAATTTTCATTGGATAATCATAAATACGATTTTTCTATTTGTTAGTACTCGTGAAAGTTATTTAGCCGATGTTCGATTTTGAGAATAATATATACATCATCGTGCGACGAAAGAGAAATGAGAGACATGGTGAATGAAAGTTTTAACATTGGAACTCGTCCAATGTGCTGCAACATAGTATATATGTATGTGTTATTGCCATAAATGATAGATAATCGTTCGGAAACAACGAAGGGGAAATTTACAGTTGATATATGGTAAAAATTCTACTACTTCCTTTTCACCATATAAAAAATACGTAAGACTAATTTTACTCTGTGACAGTAAGCAATGATCATGTAGACTATTGATACTCTTTTTACTCTTATTTAAATATCATTTTTTATATTCGATATAGTTTTTCTATTATATAATGTTTCTCTTCAAAAGTAATTATTACACTGTTTTGGATAAATATAAAAAAAATTTACTTTGAAGTACATCGGTTATTAAATGCTGCAGGTTTTTTTTCTTCCTACATTTAGTTATAAAACACTATATTATACGTAGGAATGTCAGTCTCTCCTGCTTTCGCAGTTGGTCAAACAGAAACTTAAATCATTTTATCAATATAAATTAAATGCACCATTACTTTTTCTTTTTTAACTTTGTGGCTATTTCAGCTTGTGGTTTCTGCCAATCTAATGGTTTACGGCGATACATAGGCCATGGCGGTACTGTAATTAATGCAGCCATTACAAAACCTGCTCCTAGAATATAAATAGTTTGAGAGAATTGTTGAATGACGTATCCCCATATAAGACCAACGACCTGCACAAAAAATTTTTATCATAATTTTAAGATTTTTATTAACGAAATAGTTAAAATAATTAATAATAGAA